CTGAAAAGCTGCAGCCTTTAAAGTTTCTTTAAAAAATCTATTTTATTGTGTGTGTGAGTGTGTGTGTGTGTGTGTGTGTGTGTGTGTGTGTGTTTGTGTGTGTGTTTTATTTGTATTTCCAAACTGGAGTATGCCAACTTTTACATCAGATGACTGAGGCCCACACTTTATAGGAGCCATCACAAAAGAACTCTATATGAGATTACCACGTACTCAAAATTCACACTGCCTACACCATCCACAATCTTCTGGAAAAGTTGAAAAGACCAATTACATCATTAAGTTAAAAGGATCAAAAGTCTCAGAATCTGGGAACCAGCAGTTAGCGTAATGGCTATGTCGCTGGACTCCCACGTAGTCGACCGCGGTTCACGTCCCGGACCCGGTGGCTTAAAACTCACGCCGGGCGCGTGTGCGTGCGTGCCCAAGATCCCGAGAGGAGAATGGAGGAGAAGGGATTGCGGCGTGACCATCCCCTCTGGGGGGTGATTTCTCGCTTTCTGTCTCTATGTCTCTCTCTGTCTGTCTGGCGAGCGCACGCGCCCTACAGTGAAAATCTCTCCAAAAAAAAAAAAAAAAGTCTCAGAATCTCTAGAGCTCCCTTGGCCAGAGGAGCTCCTACTAGCCCTATGGCCCCATAGTCCACTTCCTTGGGGAAACCTTGGTTGTCCTGCCATGGGTTGGTAACTAAAGGGCCCATGTCTTTAAGGATTCACCCCTGATGCTAGGCTCTGCCCTGATGCAAGTAGAAATGGCAAAATATGAGGGGACTTCAAAAATGGAAAAATGCAGTCAAAGTGAAAGTTAATTTTGGGGCAAAAATTCTGAAATCCATGCATAGATTTTTTTTTTTTGTCCAGAATGCCATTTTACATGAACACTTTCAAGACCCTTGTACTACAAAGGACTAACCCCTCTTATCTATTTCACCAGTAGGTAGGGCTACTTTCCCATGGCATCTTTCCAGGGGGCTCTGTGTGCTGGGAGAGACAACAAGAAGAAGCTGCCCGTGGACCTTACTAGGTATGGTAACAGCAACAGCCATGAAACTCCAGGAAGTGGGCCCTTGGGCTTACGCATTATAGCACAGCAATCTTTCAGAATCCAACATGAGTGAAGAGCTGCTCTCACAGGGAATCTCAGACTGAGTTTCTCACATACCTTTTGGAAGCTGCTGTTCTTCAGAAAGTGACACTGATCTAAGACCTTCAGAGCTAGCTGACAACCTTGGATGATGGACAATTTTCACCTAAGAAGTCATACCCAAACCACTGTCTGACTTCTGTTTTGTTTATTATCTGCTTGCTTTAACCATTCTTCCTCTTGTTTTTATGATCCAGTGATTGTCATCCACTCATATGGGTCTTTTCTTGCACTTCATAATTGTTAGGTTAGAACATGTTCATTCCAATGCCATTTTTAAATTATCCCAAACAGTAACCACCACACTCAATCTCACTGACTACTGTACATGCCATCAGTGACCCAACCCTCAGGATAAAAAAAAAAAATCTCTGGAAAATTCTGGTTTCATCAAATGCAACCCTGAGGAAGTACAACTAGTGGCATTTCCACTTGTATCAACATGGACCATTGACCCTAAATAGATCAATGCATGACTTTGTTGGTGCCCTTTCTTTCAGAAAAAACAATCAGTTATTGAAGTCTATTGTTCAGAACTCAGGTAATTCTAAGTTTAAATTCAATAACCTTCATGGAGAAATGGGCCAAGTGCCACCTGGAACAGACTAATACAGACCTGAATTGTAACACGACTAATTAGGGCATCAGTTCCAAGCTGTATGTCAGGAGCAACCCCTTTCATCCCAGGTCTCCACGTGCTTCCACCAGATATGACTTCCTTCTGGGCCAGGATACCTGGTCCCATTGGCCTAAGACTATACTTCACACACTTTAGAAATAGGATTCTGAGACTTACCTAGGTATAGAGACCCTAGCCCTATAAATCTCCATAGCTGAAAATTCTGACTCAGATTCAAGTTCCAAAGCAAGGCCCCCTCGGTTATTTAGATACTTTAGAGGAGTTACTGCTACTGTGAGAGCAGCCAAGTGGGAAAGTTATGAAAACAACACCCCATCTGCCCTTGGTGAAAGTCAGGTCAGTCTCGATTCACTGGCATGAACAGGGATGGGCAACTGCATTATTCCAGGTTTCCTGGGGCTATTCAGCAGCATCAATGCCACTGCTAATGTCCTTGTTGCGCTAAACCAACAGGGCAGCCTACATATTGCCCCAGGGAGAGAGTTGTTTGGGCTTTGGGCTGACCCTCAGGGCCTGTGGGGTTCACGCTCTCATCCTGAGTGGGTGCTTAGAGCTCTTGTTTCATAGCACATTACTGGACCATTAACTTTTTTATTTTTTATTTTTTGTTATAATGGTCATGATTCTGGTCCACAACACTCTATCCTGAGTCTGAAATGCATCCATGTAGCCACTCTCTTATCAGATGACCACCCAATGACACAGCACCAAAAACTCAAGAAGATCTTGCAACAGTTGACCATGAAGGCAATTGAATAATCTCGGAGCAGTGAAGGTCTGGATCTTGAGCCTTTCCTGAATCAAGTAACCTCTTGCAAGTGAGAGAATGACCAAAGCAGGACATTGAGAAACTGAACATATGAACAGGATGATGTCTAGGCCACATGTGACAGAACACTGGCCCACAGCTTCTGCAGCAACCAATCAGTCAAAGCTCACCACAGCCTCAGCAGCATGGCTAGACCAACTCTGATGTGGTCAGGGACTGCAACTTCCTGACATTTGCTCCTACTTTCACCTCAGACCAAGAAGGGCCAGTCAGACATGTCCCTGCACCCACCATGCCCAGCCAGATGTGTTTTGGGCTTGCCACAGGGGATCCTCACCTGCAGTGAGCCACCTCCCACCTCCCCATGCTCTCAGCCTCCACTGGGCATGTTGGGGCATGCTTGTATATCCACTATAAGCTTTCCTATCCCTTGCTGCCCTGCAGTCTCTGGCAAATGCTGTCCCCTTACCAAGCTGGCTTTGAATGCTCAACCTCCCTTGATCTTACCTGGAGGAGGTTTTGTTTATTTCTACACATTTTTCCTCATTACTTAAATGTTACCCCTCAATTTTGACAGAAAAAATTATTCCTCAGCTTGATATCCCTCTTTGAAGGGCACTAAAAGCTTGTCTAAATATCTTTTAGCAATGTCAAGAACATTGGAAACATGTAAACACATGATTGAGCTCACTGGCACAGACACCAGCATGTGAGGACACTGCCTTATCCTCCCACATCTAAGTCAAACTATACTAGTCCTTCTGGGGGAGATCATCACTGTGGTACAAGTGGCCATGAGGACTGGGGTCGTGACAGCCAGGGCTTTATTGAGGGCCATATGGCTGCAAACCAAGGCATGGGCACTGCCGAGGGTCGGTGGCAGCCATGTGCCTTGGTGTGAGTAGGGGTGTCTGAGATTGTGCTGGTTCCTGGGAAGCTAGGTCTAAGGAGCCATGGTGAGGTGAGCCTGTGTGTGACTCACACAGGCCACATGTGCCCAGAGGGGCTGGCCCCTGCCAGGTGGATAGAGCCAGGTGGGAGAGTCTTGAGAGGCAGAGGAGTGGGAGGATCAGAGGGTGGCCTTGTAGCTGAGTGGGGCATTCCAGTGGGCTAGGCTGACCCCTCACTCAGCAGAGAAGAGGCTAGGGGGCCTGCTGTGCCCGTGGTGGAGGTCACAAATGGGTGCAGCTCACCTCCTCAAACTTGTATGCGATCATGGCAAAGGCCTTGAAGATGGCGTCTGTTGGGCCCGTGATGGTCACGATCCGCTCTGGGCAGTTTCCCTCGGAGATGTTGATCCTTGCGCCACTCTGGGACAAGAGCAGAGCAAACCCAGCACAGGTGAGAACCACTCAGTGGTCTAAGCCCAGTGCTCCAGGCCTGAGGACAGCAACTGATGCGAACACATGGATGGCCCAACCGCAGCTCTCATTGCTAACCTGTACTCTTAGTATTCCCCTCAGTGAGATTCTCATTAGTAGGAGAGTCTGTGACCCTATCCTTGAGCAGGA